ACCCTAATTCAACTCCTGGGAACGTTTATTCTGAAAAGCACAGCGCCTGTCTGGAGAATAAGATATGACGGCTGAGAAAGAGCATAGCATTCTACACACATTAGACGAAGGAGAGAAAATCAGATGCTCCGTGCCCAAGCAAAACAAAATCCAATTACTGTTTGATAGAACAACGACAACATACCTGTGTGACTGCACAAAATATCAGCCCCAGGACTGTCACATCAATCTGCAGCAGGTTAAGACATAGCTTGAGTTATGTCAAAATCCTTTACAAACAGAAAGACCAGACAGACTCTTCTTGCAGTCCAGCTTCCCATCAACTGTCTGCTCATGGTCCGTTGCCCTGGAACTGTGTTTTTTTAGCTGAGCTGAATAACATCATGCTGACAGCCCTCCTTAATGAATAAAATTCAGCTCACCTGCTTTGAGGAGGAATGAGGCTGTCCCGAACGTGGTAAATGCCAACATAGGGGTAACGCTCCAAATTCCGTTCCCATTCCTTATAGTGGTCCTGGACAACAGCTGGAGGGCAGGAGAACAAAACAGTGACAGACCTCAGCACTGCAGAGAGGAGAACAGGGCTACTAGCATTTACAGAGCTACTGGATTCTACCTATGATCTTCTTCACCATTTCATACATGGCTTGTTCCTCCTCCTCCATCTTCCTCCAGCGATATCGAAGGAAGATCAGGATCCCCCAAAGAGTTACCAGACCTAGAAGAACAAAAACAAACGGAATTCAATAACTGACAGATGTGTATTTGCCGGATGCTGTTTTATTTCTAACATTGCCTCTCCCCAGAGGGAGTTTTCCACTCCCTGCTATCCAGCCCTGCTTGGAACTGAATCCAAGCAATCCATTTTGTTCACCAGTGCAGCTGCACCCCACAAAAATCTTGGTACTGACAACACCTGCAGCAGAAGAGCATGCATGGATGTGGGAAGAGGTGGTTGGGAGGCCTCATCACGGAGATTTTTCTCCCCCACCAGGAACCTCAGCACAAACACAGGGCTTGAATTCTCCAAGTCTCAGAGCTATCTCCTTGCTAGAGGCCTCCCCCACAATAATCACTTAGGAGGACTGTCAAGCTTCACTGCTCCGAAGATAGCTGCTTGATAAGGAAATAAAGCCTGGGGCTCCAGCGCCAGCCCAAAATTCAGGAGATCTATATTGAAGGTTTAGCATTGACAAATGCTCCCGTTACAACACAAGCTAACTTTAGTATCTCAGTCTGTACGATAAACATAACTATCCCCTTTCACCCCCACCTTGTCTGGCTAGATTATAAACTCTTCTAGTCAACACTCATCTCTCGTTATCACCTTGCTCAGTAAGACCTCTGTCTCAGCTGGGCCATGACAGACGATTCCAATAAAACCTGTAACACTGAAATGCTACAAGTCATTATTAAAGAGGCTAGAAGACTTTGCAGCTTAGTGCAAGAAAAGAAAGAAAAAACGAATCTTTCAGGTAGGCTAACACTTATTTTGCAGACCACAGTAACGGGTACTTGAGGAATACCCAGAGAGCTAATCAGCTTGCTGATTTAAAGTAAGTGTTAAGCACTCGGAGCACAAGAGCAGGTCTACAGGTCTCCCTCTGCTGCCAGAACAAAGGTTAATTAGAAATTAACTCATCAGCAGATTTATTTCACCTCTGTTGGTAATTTCATATGTCTGGAGAACGTGTGTGCGCACATAGCTAGCAAGGGGAGAAGCTGATTACTAACACCGATGACTTACTCCAGAAAAACAGGAAAAGGTTCACAATGGCAGTGACCACTGCCCGACGGAAACGGCAGCCAAGCCCCATCTGAGGATGGGCTGATTCAAGACAGAACACTTCCGCCACTTTGGTAACTGGTTCTGAAGGGTCTCTGCCTTTCAACCTGATGGGAAGAGACAGAAAATCTTCACTGAAGAGAGGAGACACTCCAACTGCAGTATTTAATCAAGACAGGAAGAACAAACAGACTGCAGATGCAGTAACTCGTTCTGTACACCACATAAGAAAATACACCAACATCCTTGCAGCTCCTCTTTCCAGATCATTTTGGGACTGGCTGCCTAGCAAGGAATGGATATGGCTTTAGAAAAGGCAGCAGGGCTGGAACTCCCACTGGTAAACTGAAGTCTCCCTCTGCAGACTCTCTGACAGCACCTCTCAGCGTGCAGAAGATTAAACTTTAAATTGGATTCCCACCTCCCAGCACAGAGAAATGGAAATGTTTCCTGAGTCACTCATCAGCAATTGCAGAGAGAGCAGCTGAGGGAGACTGCGAATGTCCGTGGAGGTTGCACTGTTTTCCTCCGTACAGATGAGCATAAACAGTTTAGCTAGAAAAGTGACAAGGCATCAACTGTATCTGCAGCGAGAAACAGACACGCCCTCAGAAAGCATTCATGGCAAAATCGATAACGCAGCCTCCCGCAAAAATCACTTCTACACACCTGCTGTGCTACCCGATACGCTTTTAACTCACTTCTTTATACACAGATCTACACTGATGTGGTTTCCTTATTAGATGCTCTTAGCCAACAGGCATCAAGTAATTTAAGTGAGAGCCATCAGATGCGGAGGAATTGGACTAAAGGGTATTTTATTTTTTTAAGTTACTAATTCATTCTAGGTTTGCAATGAATAACCTATTAGACAAAGAGATTTTCTCAATTTACTAGTGCACGGCTCACAAACTGCTGACAGCTTGTATTTGGTTACTGGATTCTACAGTAGCTGAAGACACACAGTTGTTTCCCACCCCCTTGTCTTATTTACAATCCAAATTCCATGAAAATATTTAAAATATGCAGCAGAATCACCCAGTGCAGAGCTCATTTTCAGTTCTGCCTCTCAGACTAGCACCTAGAAAAATAATCTCACGTAGAGTTTGCTAAAAATGCCACCCGCAGATTTTTAAGCACGCTGAACACTCATTCTGCACGCTATGCAGACTTCGTGAAAGTGGATCCATTCGGTGAACAGCCGCCAGAGTTGCTAATTACAAAAATTAAAAAATGGGAGTATATTGTATCACACGGCTCACGACCTGAGCCTGTACTCATGTATAAGAATATGAATTTGAAAACTCTGGATCCCAGCCCACCTATGAATCCAAACTTGCCACTAAGGAAACTATGTCCTGTCCTGGGAATTTGCCACACATGATAATCAAAGCAGTAGATACTGTCTGATCCTTAGATCACAGCGGAAGAAATTTTTTTTAGAGAAAAATCGAGCAGTGGGAATTCATCCAAGCTATGCCCACCAACTCCAGCGCTACTACTGTTACAATTCATGTAACCAGAGATACATTTAACAATGTCAAAATGCAAACAAATGTTAGATTTCAGAGCTAACACAGACTGGAGGCAACCCACGCTTCCCGGAGGAAGATAGTGATGTCTGCAGACTCTGGATAACAGTGTTTCATTAGGTTACAGCCTGAATAACGTGTTTTTTACCTGAAAAAAAACTGGTATTTCTGCTATTTCTCATGTACCGAAGAGATCGCTAGCCAAGAGAAAGAAGCCCCACTGATGACCAACACCCTACGTACTCAGCCCAACCATTCATTTTAACACGTACTGTGTGTTCTGCCAGACAGAAAACTGACACTAATGAAAAGATACCCTGCAACAATTCATTTTAACCTCCTCCTCATCAGGACTTGCTCCAAAGGATCCCAAAGCACAGGTGATGCTACCTACTGAAGAGAGTGCTTTGCTCTCCAATAAACCCTTTGGCCAAAGGATGCAGCTCCTCACAATACTGGAGTTCTGACTACAGCAACAGCACTGAAGAAAAGTTATCTTGGGAAAAGCGAGTAATGGGCAAGCTTAACAAGCATGCTGTAGTCACAGGACCGTGGGCAGGACACCAGGACCACCAGTTCCAAACCCTGCAGGAACTACAACATAACCGCTGATAGCCACGAGCAGCCCTGACCTCAGAAGTGTGCCTCCTCTGCAAGACAGGGCGTTCGTGAACGCAATGTCCCCCCGTGCGGTGGCTGGGAAACAGAGTCCCAAGGAATGAGCTCAGTTGCCAATTTTTGCTGCAGGGCCAGTACTTTCATTTGGAAGCTTGCCCAGCAAGCACTGACAAAGCCAATCCCAGATTATCTTCCAAAATCTAACAAGGTATGGGAGCTTTTAGGGCACACCACAGAGGATGTCAAACTGCATACCAGCCCAACACCGAGAAACGTAATTTTGACACAGTGGGCTTCCACTTACCATATTCCTAAATCCTTGTTGCTGTTTAGTATCCACTGCAGGACAGCGTCAAACTTCTGTTGGGGACTACCAGTTATATTCTGTTCAGAAGAATCCATAAGATTAGTTCTCCATTCATTTAAAATACTGAACAACATTATTTTATTACAGTACTTCTATATGGACTGTCTCTAGGTTAGTTCTAATCAGAATTCTGCAAACTGGAGGAAGGAGAACTCAATCTGAAGGTCTGTCTGGACTAACGCCTTCTGACTACAGTAGATGATGCATGAAGCACTCTGTAAAATAACACTATCCCAGACTGTTAAGACTAACCACTAAATACAACATAATCTTACTGACAGTTTACCATGAAAGAAATAGAAAGCTAGATCAAAGCAGTCTGTCTCCTGACACTTTGGGGTATAGAAAAATCCTTCTTCTGCCCAGCCCTCAATCCAGGGAAATTTCTGGTTTCAGAAGACTGATGACTATGGTGAAACAACAAACCATTAAGTTAGATTTACAGGGGCTGAATCAGACGTGGAGGAGAAGATTATTTTCAAAAGAACTGCTGAGAACAGGACTGGCCAAAGGGGAAGCTAGAGATATAGGAGAGAATCAAAACAGGATGAGGAAGTAAAACAGATGGTGAATTGCTTTAGTATCTATTATTTATTGCCTTGTAAGAGACTAAGCACTACGTTATAACAATAGCTGTTCACAGCCTACTCACCACCACGTGAGCCTTCGCTTCAGCAACCCAAATGCATTTGCTTTTTAGATTCTCAGGGTTTCCGCATTCAAAATTACCTGGTAAAAAAAAGTCAGATAGACATAATGTTTTGAAAAAAAGCTCTTGAACAGTTTGGAAATACACTGAACTGTGTGGAAATGCTATCCTTTAAAATCAGCTAGAGCTCTGGGCAAAATGATTACAAGGTAAGATTTATACCGTAGGCAGATAAGATTATGACTGTTAATAAAACGCTCAGCTACTGCATACCAGTTGGATAAGGGCAATCAAACCTCATGCTTCAGTGTGTGAGCTACTCATCAAAGAATGAGGGGGAAAAAAAAGAATTCTCCTTCTCCCCCTTGCAGAGCACATAACCACCTCTCTGACCTAATGGCCTGCAGAGGGGCTCCATCAGGTATCAAAGACTGCGGTGTTGGAGTTAATGATCAGCACTGGAAATGCTTCTAAGGAGCCTGAATCACAGCTCTACCTTCCACCCAGGCACAGAAATCATGGTGAGGAACTAAATCTTCTAAATCTAGCTTCACAAAGTTGACTAAACAAATATGCTAAGAGACTATGTAAAACTGGTGGAAATTTCACAGGTGCTGAAGTTTGATTTGAGAAGATTTACAAATTCTGTGAAGCTTAAGTATCTAAAGGATTCGGCCTTACTGAAGTCTGAAATCTAGAAAATGGAACTTAAGTGTTTTTACTGATTATTATACATCTTGCTGAACAAGTTTTTACTCATCCACTGAATTTCTAGCAGCCTTCTCCATCACAAAATACTAGTTATGGACTGGATTTGCTCACACATAGTAGAGACTGCCTGAGCTACTGTGCTGTTAGCTCCTCAGCTACGAGAGCCTGCCTTACTCTGTACGGAGAAAAAAAAAAAGAGGCACTCACATAATCAGCTGCCACATTTCAGCAGGCAGCTGGTAATTTCTTAAGTTGCTTTATTTGTAAGAACACATCAGCTTACACTTACTGGCTCTGAGTGTCTTGAAGACAACTTCATGATGTTGGTAGAAAAGAACCATAAAGCTGAATATTGCTACCTCCAATTCCCAATATATCAAGTGCAAGTAAGGACCACTCCACGAGAGCACAATGATACGAGTGCATTAGCTAAGCACTGTTCAGAATAAAAATAAATACATCTTTTTCTGGTTTTTTCTATTACCTGACTTTCTCAGAGCTCTTCAAGTGGAACTGACTGTTCCATAAACCCCTCTCTTCAAACTGAGGTTAAAAATGGCCAGACAGCTGGGAGAGGCAGTTTGCTGAGTGCTCGTAAGTGTTTTATAACGACAATTGGAACTCACCAGCTTGTATGGACAAGTAGTCATACAACTCGTGCAGCATGTTCATTATTACGTCCTTGTGTTTAGCTTGACAGAACTGAAAAGTCAGAAACGGGTAACAAACATGAGCAGCCCAGCAGCAACAGGATAGTGCTCAGACTAGATAAAAATACCAAACCAAAATACCAGCAGGGGGGTTTGGCTCAGTCATGCAACCCTAGTTCAAATTAAACACACCTGCAGCAAAGATCTAGTGTTTCTGAGTCAAAAGCAAGCTAGGACACCCCCAGACATCCCCTCTGACCAACCATAGATCAATTCTTTGCCTCCAAAACACCACAGGAGACTAAGCAGAACTCTGAATCCCATATGAAATCTTCCCCCTCCTAATGCTACATTATGATAAAAGAAACAGGGCTGTACAAACACTTTATGATGGGGTTCAGGGAATTAGTGGGATTAAATCTTGCATTGTTAAAGCTGAACACAGCTTATTGCAAACCAATATCACTTCTGTTACAACTATTAAAGAAATTGATTCACATAATTGGGAATTTAAATTTTTATCTTTTGGAGTCTCATATACAGTCCTAATTTAATCTGGCCCATTAATTCCAACTCATCAAGTCACAATTTTTCTGTAATATGAAAGAACTAATAATTTTACAGCGATATTGATATTGGTGGAAGCTACCTAGGATAATTACTTTTCTGTGAGAATCCCTATCCACAATACTTGAAGATAAATAAATATATGCTTACATCATCCGTTCTTTTGTCACAATCCACAGGCAAGAGATTAACTGTGAGAGAGAAGGGGAGGGCAAGTTAGCTGGCTGCAAAACAAGAGCTTTGATCAAGAAAGTAATTATCTTTTTAAAAGAAGCCTCTACTTTAAAGCCTGATTCTGCTATTCTTAATCTCATCCTACTCAGTACCTTGCTATGCAAATCGTGCATTCAAAGCACTGCTGCGGTGAGCAGCGCTGAAAGAAAAACAAATAAACCGGGTGCAAATGATGAACCCTGTTCAGCTGGAAAGTAAAAACTGAAGTCTGAATGTTTTCCTAGCGCCTTTTAAGTAGTTGTTTCATGCTCCTTGGCTACTCGCTGCTTCACACTGATCTTTTACAACGCAGTAAAGCCTTTCGCTGCGTGCCATGGTCACCTGAAATATCACAGTGATAACAGGGATGTAAATCATGCCTCCTCAAGGCAAAAGCAGAGGATTTATTTTAGTTGGAGCTGTTAGCTCTGCAGATTACGGCTTCTGGTTTAACAGCTCCCTCCCGTCCCAACAACCGAATATACACCAGCCACGGGTCCGCCACGCAGCACTTTCTAGCATCCTTAACTGCCTGAGAATTTAAAGTATTTGCAGCTGTGCCACACAATTTCTTGCTTCAAAATGCCATCGGTTTTGAAATACCTAACAAAGCTGTAAAGGATGCATCAGAAATTCAGTGACATTGGACAGTTCTGACTTTGAGAAAGCAGGAACCAGCTTCCCCAGCCCATGCAAAGCGCACCACTACCTACAGGACCAGCACGCTGAGTTCCAGGACTCACGCCTTCCCAGCCACACCCCAAATCCCTTCTTCTTGCAGTTCAAAGCCATGAAACAACATTTCCACCTGCTCTCGCTGGTGAACTCTGCTTTACATTAAATCTGGGTGAGGGGAAGCCCCTTTTCATAACCCATCAAAGCTCTGCCACACTTGAAGTGCCAAAAATACCAAGTCAACAGCTGTACTTCTCCCGTGGCCAGGATAAAGGCCACGAAGGGCTGTGCTTTGCAGAGCTAAGATTAAAAACACACACTGGGCAATTGCACAGACGTGATGTTACACAATGGACAATCATGAAATACATCCTTGGCCTAGCAGG